AAAAAAAATTATTGAAAACAATAAGCAAAGCTGAGGAAAAAAAGCTTTCGGTTGATGAAATAAACGACGAATTGTTTTACAGCATTCTGAAAGTATCTACGTATAGATTCCTTCCGCGCCTTCTAAATACATTTCAACACCTTCCGCTGTATCGAAAATTCAGGAAAATCTGACGTGAAAGTTGTAAGCGGATCGACTGGGTCAGAAATGTCGTTGGCACATGCAAGCAGCAATCAGGATTTGTCCTCCTGGGATAGCATACTCAACGAGCTAACCGGCAAAGCGTCTGCAGAAGGGATCACCAATTCACAAGCAAATGTGCAGCTTGGCGCTGGAGGCAGTGTAAATGGCAAGTTTTGGAGCAAATTTTATGAATTGCTTTGTAAGAAATATGCACAGTTTCGCAAAGATACAAGAAACTGGCCATATTCTTTTGCCAAGAACCAAAATTCATATTGCTTTGTTGCACTGAAGCTGGACAGAAAACAACCAAACACACGAGACGTCACTGCGCTTGCTGATTTTTCAGGTTTCGACATTACTGGCTTAGTGTCTGGCATGAGCGAAGGGCAGGGAGGAGCAAATGTAAGGACAGCAGCATCAGGCCATGGAATTACAAATGGATCATATCAGGGTGCATCTGGTCTGCTGTCTGGCAGTTCTCAAGGCAGCGGGAAGTCGTCGCTAACTGGTGGACAAACCTTGCACAGCGAAAACACTTGTAAATCTTTTATAAATCATTTTTTGGTGCCGGGCAGCATTTTTTGTTTGACTTGCAATACTAGCTGATTAGAACAAAGCTTCCAATCATGACTGTACGAAGGATGTAATGCATCTTTGAGAATATAGAAAGGACAATAAGCAAAAAAGGAAAGTTTTGATGACCATGAAATTTTCAGCACAGCAGAAGTTGAAATTGTTTCGCTTTGGTGGAAGCGCTACATATGTGCAAGAAATTTCGGAAATACCATTGAAATAAGAGGTTTCAGAAAACCACGGCAATTGTTAGTGCGCACGAAATAAAGAAATTTGGGAAAAATTGACAAAAAAATGTATCGGTTTTTGAAAACTCGATTCAAGGCTGAGCTGTGTTCAACTTAAGGCATTTGCGATGAACGATGCGTAAGAGAGACTGACAACTGTTGCACAGACGTTTTATGTTTATTATAAACGGCTTGCTAAAATGATAACATCTTGATTCAAAGTAAATAAATTTAGCGCTAACAGTATTCGGAAGCTCGCAAGTGGACGCAGGCAACGGAAAGGGAGATTCGAAGCTAACATCCAAGACGAACGTAGCAGACGGTGATGCCAGCGGTAATATCAGGATGGAAGGGAGCGCTTTTGGTACCAACAGCAATCTGAACGTTAGCAACGGCATGAATATTGACGACAGCGGACGAAAAACTCGTAAAAATGTTTTACTTCATTTTAAATTGCCCTAAAATTACAGCCACTTCTACTCTTCCCACCTTTCGATTTGGAGGGAAAAACAGTTTAGGAGCGTCTGTCTCC